ATCTTTTCTTCGGGGCTCCTCTCATTCCTGAGACCCTCACTGCCACTGTCCAAGCTTGCTCGGCCCCGGCAGATGAACCTCAGGATTAAAGGGTGGGCTCAGTTCAGCGCACGCTGTGTCTCACCTAAAAAATCCACTGCGCAGGCTCGAAGGGTTAATGACCTTTCCCAAATCTTCGCTCTCGAAGACTGGCCATTATCACCTGTCATTGTTCAAAAGCAATTTCAGCTTTTTCTGCCTGAGAAAAGATTGGCAAGGTGACAGAGAATAAGGACTTGCTTTGGTGTCCCTACCAACCTCCAGGTTCGCTCCACATACTGGCCAGTTCAGGTCCAAGGTGCATTTCAGGGACCAAGGGCAGGCACGGCCTGCCTGCCTCCTCACCCCAAGGGCAAAACCACCATGAAACTTTGTTTCTGTGTGCTTCTTGCCATTGCTATGGGTGGGTGGAATCTTTCTGGAAAACTGCAGGATTTGGGTGCAAACAAGCTGCACCGTCGCCGGGACGGAGCCTGCAGGTGCCAGAGGCAGGGCTGAGTGTGGGGTGGGAGTGCAGAGCAGGGGCTGGTGGGCAGGGCTGCCCTGGCACCTGAGCTGGGACATGCTGGTGGAAACTCAAATTCTGTCCCCACAGGTTCTCCCGCTCCATGAAGGTCTGGCACCGGGGTAAGACACAGCTGGTGCAGAGGGCAGGCAGGAAATAGCACTCAGAAATTACAATGCCCTAATCACCCTTTCTGAGACCTCAGGCATGTTTCTAAGGGAAAGGAACTCACCACAGTGGATTGATCCTCCTCAACAAAAATGTTCTGTGGAGTGGCCCTTCACACACTGCCCTGTGGCGTTTCTCCAGGGCTGCTTCCGCATTGTGGAGATGGCTCATCCACCAGCTGGGCAGACAGAATGCCTCCCCCTGGGAAAGGCAGCATCAGCCTGGCCTGGCCCTCTCTGCATCCACCAGTGAGGTCTGGAGGAGCACCAGGAATGTCCAGTCCTGGAAGTGGATCAGGATGTTTCTCACGGATGCACAGCCAAGGCATTCTGGAGGCCCTGGGAAAGCCTCGCAGAAATGCTGGGGAAAAGCCACGTAGGTATTGCTGGAGCCTTGGTGGCACGTGCCACACTGGCCTTCTCACCCCCTCCCAGGGGTCAGTACTGATCCCCCACTGATGGCAGCACTGGGCTCTGTGCACAGAGGCTGTCTCAGAGCTTGCCCGAGGAGCTCCAGCCTGTCCTGCAGTCCCCATGGAGCCGGATGGGCTGTGCCAAGGTTGGGGCCCCTCGCACGGCACCAGGAGGGGGTTCCTGGCTGGCTGGTGCCCCCTGGCTCCCCGGCAGTGCCTGGGCAGTGCTGTCGCTCCTGGGCACAGCACAGGCCCTGAGTCACTCTCTACTGAGCTCTGGTGCCCGAGGCTGTGGCTGCCCAGCCCTGGCAGCTGTAGGTTCAGCTTCCCCAAAGCCTTGTGTGGTGCAGAGCAGAGAGGGGCTGACTGATCCTCTAAGTTTAGTTTTTCTGCTGTGAAACATGAAGGGGTTTCATCCTGTATGAGATCTTTCCATATCTCTTCAAAGATTTTCTGGGTCCTTAATCCCAGCCATCCCAGAGCCATTATCTGGATCACAGGACATGGAGGTAGGTGGGTTCACAGGGTCAGCTCATGACTGGGACAAGCTCCCAGAGGTTTCATCCTCCACAATCACAGCTTGGCATGCAAACAGCCACAAGCTGTGAGCTTCCAAGTAGCTCCGAAATGTTTCCCGGGACAGGAGGCTTTCACAAGTCATCTGTGACATGATCCAAACGTGAGCAATGACAAATGCTGTTCAGAGACAAAATGTCCCGTACCTTCCTGGAGAATTGTTTCCCAGGCTTCTGGAACTGAGAATAATCAAAGATAAGAAAACTACTTGCTTGTTTCCCCTTCACGTGGGTCCAAATCTCACATGTTTGGTAGGTCAGCGTGGAGCTCTGATGTGTCTTGTTACTGGCTACCACTCTTCATCCTCAGGAAGGAGAACTAGAGCCTTATTTCTTTTTTAATTAAGCTTCTGCTTCCTGTGTGGATTGCTTTGAAAACGTCACCCAGGGGCAACGGGGGAAGGGAGATGCGACACAAGTTGCCCAGGGAAGACGCATGAGTCAGCAACTGATGTAAACTCTTTTTCTGGGCACTGTTTAATGTTATATTAATTTCAGACGTCAGGCCCCAACCTCATTATTTTGTCAGTGTCAGTGACCACAGGGTAGTGCTGAACAGTGCCAGACAAGCGTGGCTCCTAGATCAGAAGGGAAGAAAAATAACCCTATTTTCTGTGGGTGAGCTGTTCTGGGGAGAGGAATAGTCCTGGAAAAGGGTCACAGAGAGCAGCCCAGGCAGTGGAGAACCCGCAGTGCAGAAATGCTGTGAGGGACTGGAGGGGCGAAGCCGGGGAGGCACAAACCAGAGCGGATCGATGCCTTTCCGTGGGCGAGTCCGCGTGTCCTGCCCAGGCCTGTGCTAAAAGCAGCGCTGCGGCGGCCGAGGAGCAGGTCAGACACCGGGCAGGGCACCTTCACAGCAAGGGCAGGGGCCGGAGGAGGAGGGGGAGCTGACGCGGAGGATGTGGTTTCCCGTGTCCCCAGTGCCGGTCACGCAGTGGTGGGCAGGATCCCGCCGTCGGTGTCCTTGGCACCACCGAGCCCCCTGCGCTGTCTTTCGTGGTGGACGCGGCTCTGCACCCCCGGGGGGACACAGAATGGGAAACTCAAATAACACCTGCCCTGCCTGCTCCCACCATCCTGTCCCAGGCGCACTGCCCCGGCCCCAGGGGAGCTCAGGGGAACAGAGTCGATTCGGAGCACAAACTAGGGACTCAGAAGAAGTTATATCCCTTCCAGGGCTGTCCCAGGAGAGACTCAGCCCAGCAATCCAGGTGTGAAACCTGTCGAAAAGGGGTCAACACTTGCTCACCCTTGGGACCATCAACGCGGGACACACTGTGGGGCACGGGGAAAGAGCATTTCGGGATTGCACGAGGGTTGTTGCAGGACGCCTGGGGGAGGAACTGAATGCGGGGAAATGTGGGCATCGATGGGGTTTAGGGAGAGCAAACGTGGGGAGAGCGAGAGGGGAGGCAGTGGAAGGGCCGGGGCACAGGGTCAGCATTCCTGTTGGGATGCTCGTCCGGCAGTGCCCGGCGCTGAGTCAGGGCCGTCTGTCCTCCCTCTCCTCCAGCCCCATTTCCAGCGCTGTCTCGAGGGGGAGTCTGTCTGTTCAGCGAGGTCCGTGGGGCAGCACCCGGACCGACCCCCGGTGCTAGTCCAGCCGGACCATCCGGACGATCCAGACGATCCAGGAAGGTGCGGGTCTCCAGGGGCGGGACCACCCAGGGTGCAGGGTCCCGGGGGCGGGGTCCGGGGGCGGGTCCCGGGGCGGGGTCCCGGGGCGGTTGCCGATGAGATGCCGATGAGATGCCGCCGCTGCCCCGGTGGTGGCCGCGCTCCGCTCCCGGCAGCAGGTAACGGGATCGCTGGGGGGGCAGCGCGGGGTCCCCCCGCCCTCCGAGGAGCGGGGTGGTCGCGGGGCTTTTCCAGGGGGTCAGGTCCCGCCGGTGCCGCCGGTTCGCGGAGCGGGGCCGGCCCGGCCCGGTCCGCGCCGTCGGTCCGGGCTGCGGGAGGTGCCGCCGCCCATCCCGCTCCCACCGGGTGTCTCTGGCGCGGGGCCACGGGGTCCGTGCGTCTCTCTTCGCGCTGGGGTGATGGTTCAGCGGTTTCTGCCCGATTTTGCACCAAACGCGTGGGCGACTTTCCACTTTGGTGCGAGGAAGCCATACGCGTGTACGCCGCTCCCAACAACAAAACAAGCAAGCAAAACCCCCCTGAGCGCTCAGCTGTGGGATTCACAGCCAGTGATTTTGGCTTCTTAACCTTAATGGCGAAAATGTTGTGTGAGAGACTTGGTCCGAGCTGGAGCAGGCGGGAGGCAGTCACTTTGACGTGCGGGTGTCAAGGGTACCGCTGTGAGCACCTCCGTCCCCGCGGGGCAGTGGGGGAGCTCCGAAGGACAGCGGACAGGGCAGGGCAGCGCCTCACCTCGGGGGCGGTAGGGATCTGTACCGCGTCCCAAAGCGCCCGGGTTTGCCCCATCTGTGTGTGCTCGCGTGGCTCTCCAACCTCTGCAAACACACCTTCCTCCTCCCGCCCAGGTAACCTGCTCCGGGTGTGCTTGCTGATCTCCACCTTCCGAGCGTTTTTCTGGCATTCTCACAGCCTGTCTGTGGCTCCTTGTTGCACGGGGGTTTGCCACAGCTGTAGGAAAATACCTAAGTATTTGCTTCTAGCCAGATTTGGGTGAGACTTAATTTGCTAGTGGGATGTGTGAGATAAGACTGTAAGATGGGAAACGTTAGGAACCCCATTAGTCATAGAGGTCTTGTCTCAGAAGAGCAGGCTTGCTGGCCCAGGAGAATCTGCAGAATTAGAGGTGGAAATGACAGTAATGCTGGATAGGAAGCTCCTAGTGAACCACTTCCTTCACTTTCCTTTCACTTTAGCCCTTTTAGTGGTGCTGTTCCCGCTCCCATCCAGGGTTCTCTATAGCAAGGCAGAGGCAGATGTTCAGAGAGCTTTTGTACAATCTGAGAAAAATCTAAGCTGGAAAAGAAAAGAATTCTGGGTGTCTGCTGGCAGCATTTGATTTTCCCTGCATAAACTCCAGCTGACATTGCCTAGAGAGGCACCCCACCCTTATCCCGTTCCCCTGTCTGTGAATTGGTCCATGCAGCTCTGGCAAGACTGATGAGAAGCCTCTGGGACCAGACCAAGGCAAAGACACATGTGAGTGATGGCAGGACATAGCAAGCAAACTGTGCCCAGCCCTGTGGCCTCTCTGTCTCCCTGGTTCAGCCATCGGGAGCAGGCAAATGGCACCTTTCCACATGTGCTACCATCCTGCCTTTTACTGATCCTGAATTTCACTCTTCTAAGGTTTAGTAAATTGCCCTCTGAATTTTTGCTGAGCAATGTGCTGGCAAACAGTTCCTTGATGTTGTTCAGTGCTCCGGGCTCTATCCTTGTGGAAAGCAGATGATTTTAAAGCTGGAGAGAACCTCTGGGGCTCTTGTGAAATGTCTCTGTATGTGGCATGACATTCTTGAACCAGTATTTTTTAAGTGCATATATTTTCCTTTTTGTTTTATTCTTCCTTTCTTGACATTTGCCAAAAGGCCAAACCAAAGCTGTTTCCCAGCCCTTGTGCTCAGTAAAATCCAAGACACACATAGAGATCACCTGTACAGACAGGTGTGGAGGAATCTGTTGTGGTGCCAGCCCTGATCTTGAGTTTTCTGCTGTGCAAACAGTCCCAGGAAGGCACTGGCAATACTCCAGAGTGCTGAACTCCACAGGCACATTGGTTGTTTCCAGACCTGCACCAGGACACAGAGATCAGGGACAATGTGTGAAGGTCTGCACAGAATCTTTTTTTTTCTTTTTTTGCCCTGCTGTGCAATTTGCCAGTGGCATGCAAATGTTTCTTAGAAGGTGAGCTGCTTGATTCCGTGGTGTTGTGCAAACAGGGGCTGGGGAGCAGGATCCAGCCACGGGCTTGCAGGCAGATCTTTTCTTCACCGTGAAAAGGAGTTGCAAGTCAGGAAAGCAGAGGGAAACATTCCTTCTCTGCTAGCTGTTCTTGTCCTGGGAGACAGAGCTGAAGGGAGGAAAGTCTTCATGCACTTCCACAGGAGTCTATTTTTAGGAGTGAAAGCTATTCAGGAGAGAAGTATTGATTTTCCTCCTTTCCACCTTGAACGTTCTGTTTATCATTTCCTTTGATTTGTGTGTAATGCACCATGCACAGAGCTATTCTTGCTTCTCCCCTCATGCCCTGAGCCCGTCAAGGATGTATGGCCTTTGCTGAAACCATTTTTATTTGGCGCCTGAAGTCTTTGCATGCTCTGCCCAGAATTTCACATTTTAAAACTAATTCTGCTCTTTTGGAGCCAGACTGTGTCTGTATAAAACCTTGCCATTGCCAGCTGAGAGAGGAAGATGGGGATGTGCAGGTACAGAACAGAATCTCTGCTGCCTTCTCTGGGTTGACAAGTGCTAAATTCTCCTGCAGGTTGTTTTTGACTTAGAGCAGCTGGAAAGTTTTTTGATTGGTGGGGGGATTTTTGTTTGTTTGGGTTCTGTTTTGGTTTTGTTTTCTTGTTTGTTTTCTTTCATCTTATCTTTTTTCCTTGACAGTATCTGTCTGTAGGTAAAAGCCTGGATTTCCCACGGTATTAAAAAGCAACGGTGCCTTTTTTTTTTTTTTTTTTTTTTTCTGAGGTGTGGCACTGGTGGATACTCTTTGCCTGGTATTACGTAGAAGTGCTGAACATCACAGGCTTCTGGCACAGCACAGGTTCTCTTTCTGAGCCAGGGAAGGTCAGAGGACCTGGTCACACACCCTTTGGTGCTGAAGTGGTTCCTCCTGGGGCTCTGGGGGTGACCAGACAGCAGCTGACACGAGAGCCTGGGGGATAAACTGGGCTACACAGATCTCAATCCCATTAGTGACGTCTGGCAGTGTCACACAGTGTCAGACAGTGTCACACGGTGCCGTGGGGGTGCTCCCTGTGTGGCCGTGAGGGGCAGGGGGACTGTGACACGCAGGGGTGCCTGTGGCCGTGGGGAGGGCCCTTCTCCAGACCCTCCTGGGCAGCAGGATGAGCCCCAGCTGGGTCTAGGACCCTCCTACAGCTGCAGTGTGTGTGTGGCAGCCATGTGAGAGCAGCTCCTCTCCTCAAAAACCAGCCAAACACTGCAGGCTTATGAGATGGGACAGCCACAGTGGCTTTTTGCATTTTCTTTTCTTAATTTTTGTTTTTGCAAGGATTGTGTTATTTGTATGTGCACAGCCAACGTGGTGAGAGTGCAGAGTGCCACAGGAGCTTTAACCCTGGTTCTCAGGCTCAGCTGTCTCCCTGGCTGTGTCTCCAAGAACATCTTTATAGAGGGTGCTGTGTGGAAAATGGGTGAGTTACTGTTCTGTCCTCATGTCTTATCGGAGCTGGCTGACCTTCAAAATCTTTGCTGCAGAGGTGCCCGGTTGTGCCAGAAGTGTCTTCTGGTGCAGCTCAGAGCCACAAGCTTGGTTTTCTTCTGCCTGCCTGGGTAGCCAGGGACGTGCTCACCCTGTGGTAGTGTCCTGGCAGAAGCGGCAGCTGGAGGAGCAGACACCACCCCTCGCAGCCTCACCTCCCTACCCTGAGCTGGCTGTGACGTGATCCCTGAGCTGGCTGTGCGAGAACCTGCTGTTCTCCTGAACCTGCACCTACCTGGCAGGTGGCTCCAGGGACAACCACAGCCGGTGAGCTGGGGTGGCCTTGGGCAGGGGCCAACCCTGCTTCATCTCTCAGCTGTGCAGTGTGAGGGTGTATCACCAGGTACACAAGAGATGTAATCATAGAACCACAGCATAGTTTGGGTTGGAAAGGACCTTTAAAGGTCATCTAATCCAACCCCTGTCACGGGCAAGGACACCTTCCACTATCCCAGGTTGCTCCAGGTCCCATCCATCCTGACCTTGAACACTTCCAGGTATGGGGCAGCCACAGCTTCTCTGGACAACCTGTGCCAGGGCCTCCCCACCCTCATTGTGAAATGTTTTTTGCTTGTATCTTGTCTGAATCTGCCTTCTTTTAGTTTAAAACAATCATCCCTTGTTCTGTCACTGCAGGCCATGCTAAAAAAATCTGTCTCCATCTTTCTTATGAGGCTCTCGAGGCACTGGAAGGGGCTCTAAGGTCTCCCTGGCATGTTCTCTTCTCCAGGCTCAACAACCCCAACTCTCTCAGCCTTTCTTTGTAGCAGAGGTGCTCCAGCCCTGTGGTTGTCTTTGTGACCCTCCTCTGGACCTGCTTCAACAGCTCCATATCCTTCTGTTGTTGTTCCCCAGGGCTGGAGGCAGCTCTGCAGGGGGGTCTCACCTGAGGGGGCAGAGGGGCAGAATCCCCCCTGCCCTGCTGCTCCCGCTGTGGGATCAGCCCAGGGCACAGGGGGTTTCTGGGCTGGGCCATGTCCAGCACCCCCAAGTCCTTCTCCCCAAGGCTGCTGTCAGTGCTTTTGTTGAACTCGCTGCTGATGGGCTTCCATGGCAGGAAGCACTTGGACAGATGCTTCCAGGATCCCAGAGGAGTGAAGATAACTTCACTTACTGGTGGACAGTGTCTGCAGTTTTACAGCAGCTTATGGCCACTTCTGATCACATAGTTCTATGTCAGCAGGTGCAGGAAATCTGCTGGTCCCCACTGCTGCTTCTGCTGCCATGTTCTGGTGGTAGCCAACACTTTAAACCAAAGATGTAGCGTCAAAAGTACCGGTAAAACTTTGCCCCTCTGAAAATTTCAGTTTGATGAATTAATACTTTTCCATGAAAATTTGAAGTGTTCTCCTTGAAAGTGGGTTTGTTTTTTTTCCTGCTGGCCAGGTCTGTGCTGTGCATGTCCCGACACACCTGCTGGTTGTGCTGCTCTGTGGCTGCACACCCAGAGGTAGGCCCTGGCCTTCAGGTCTGTGTTGCTCCTGAAAAGCCAGAACCACTAGCCCGGGTTCCCTCACAAGCTCTCTGAAAGGGTCAGTTGGTTGTGAAAATAAACACCTGTCGAGTCACAGTTCCCTCTGGCAGACCTGAAGGATCTGTGCATCAGGATCCCAGCCCAAGCTGCTTAGTGACGTGCTCAAGGGCTTGGCTCAGAAATAGCTGCACAAGGGCAGCTGGGAGTAGGACCTGGGTTGGAGCTGCCATGGGACATTCTGGAATGGGGAGAGGTACCAGCTGTGGTGTCAGAACAGCACGGGAAACAAAGCTGCTCCTGGTGTTGTGCACTGTTTTGTGGAAATAGTGCCTGTTCAAACTGCCTCTTCTAAGGCACCTGTTGTTTGGCTCAAACATTCCCGTTTACTGAAAGCACGATGTGGGTTTTTTTCCCTCAGTATTCCATTTGTCTTTTAGGCTTTTCCTCCTTGTCCTGTAGGTTAAGAGACTTTCTCTGGAAATTCTGTTTTGTGAAGCCCAGATAGAGAAGTCTGTCCTTTCTGCAGAGCAGCAGAGGGAGGGGGAAGGGGTGGGAGGTAGAGCTGCCGATGGAGGTGGTGAGGAAGTGAAGGAGGAGGATTGTTGTCTCAATCAGCACATCAGCAGCTGGAGTGTGAGGCTTCCAGGCATCCAGGCAGGGAGCTCTGGGAGGAAGGAGCTGCTGCGGGCACGACCTTCCCCATGGCTCAGGGGGAACATCAAGTGTCTGGGGGGAGTGGGAAAGCCACCTTGTGCTGCTGAGGAGAGAGGTGAGGTCCAAGCCAGCAGATGCTGCTGCTGCTGCATGGGTGTTATGGATGGTGACACCCCCTGGCTGAGAGGGGACACACCGAGCAGGGACCGTGTTGGCTCAGGACACATCCCGTGTTGTGTTCCAGGCTGCAGAACTGCTGTACTTCTGCTCCTTCTGTGGTCACTTCCCAGTCACCCTCTGGAAAGGGGTCAGATTTCCCACCCTACAAGCTCTAACTTCCTCTGAAAACACAGCTGGATCACAAGGGTCACTGTTCTGGATTTGGAGATGCTTCTCAGGGGCAGATACAGGAGCAGTGTGGCTGAAGGAGCAGTTTGAATTATGTAAGAAGGAAAGCCCAGAGAGTGCCCAGTGCAAGAACTGCTGAAGGGCTGAATTTCCTCTGTGTTTTCTGCCCATGGCTGCACAGGCAGGGAGCAAAATGGGCCTGAGTGGCTCCTTGGGAGGGAAAGAAAAGTTGGCAAACGTGGGTCCTGCCCTCCCTTCCTTGTTAGGAAAGGTGACCTGGGGGAGCACTGTGCCCTGAGAGAGTGCTGAGGGAACAGGTCCAGTTTCTGTGGAGACAGAATGTTTTTTCCTCATTTCTCCGAGCTTCCAGCTATCTTTGCTGTTCAGAAATTAACTTACTGATATTTCTGCTACAGCAGAGGCTCTGCCATGGACCAGCAGCCTGCTGTGCCAGTGTGACTGAGCATGTCCCCGAGGTGCAGAACTTTCAGTGCCAGGAGAAGACTTGAGGGAGGAGCTCGGGACGTACAGATCTCTCAGGCTGACCAGAAGACACAGTGTGAAAGGTGGATATAACAGAGAAACACAAAGAGCTGATAATCTTCATGACTTCTGGCGGATGCAGACATATTTTGTTTCACTTTGTGTTTGGTTCACTCGCAGCCCAGTTTTTCCCAGGGTCTGAGCTTAGAGTAACAACAGTGGTGCGTGGCTACAGAGGCTTCCTGTGCCTTGGAAGGCGCAGTATTGGAGTGTGCAGTTACCACTGCAGTTTGCATTTGCAAATGTCAAACCAATTTTCTGATTTGATGGAAGACTCGTGGTCTGGCAGGTTCGGTTTGGGGGCTGAAAGCCGACCTAGCCTTTGTATCTCCCAGAGAAGATCCTGGATCCATGAAATCTGTGGAAAAGGATAACAGAGGTTGCTGGGTCACTGTCTACCCTGGGAGAGTAACTCACTATGGGTTACTCACTACTCACAGACAACCAAAAGCACCAGGCAGGGGAGGCTGGGTGGGCAGGGGGATCACAGTGAGTGTCACAACAGATGTTATCCCCTGTTATAGCTCATGGTCTTCCCAAGGTTTTTTATTATAAAAGAGTTGTGAATTGGTGTTGGTAACTCTGAACTGATGTCCAGAGGATTCCCTCAGTCTTTTATTTTTCTGTTTTCCTGTGGTTTCTGTCACTTTCAGGTAAATGGAAGATTTGGAGACTAACCTAATCCAGACACGAAAAGCATGTAGAATAGAGCAAATGGTAGCAAAATGGCTTCATCGCTCTCGGGACAGCGCACCCAGGTAAGTGTGGGCTTTTTGAAAGGAGTCTCTGTGATCACCTTCCATCAGAGGCAGCACAGGGCTGTTCCCAATGAACAGGGGCTGGCACAGGCTGCAGATCATACTCGTTGCTTCTGTTGTTCTTGGGAAATATTCATGCAGTAGTCCCTAGAAAAAGGAAAACAACAGTGGTTTTAAGCAATCCATTGGTTTCCAGGGACAGATGTTCCTGCTTTCCTCCATTGTGGTTTTGTGAGGGAGAAACACAGCACTGCTCCATGCAAAACTTGCTGTTCTTGGAGGTGGGGTCCTGCTTGTCTTTGTCTCTTACCAAGGGCCCACATTTTTGGGCAAGACTGGATTGCATTGACCAGGGATCCTGGTCCATGACTGCTTTCCTTCCCTGAGGTCTGAGAATCAGCATTAAGCTGATCCCAGCAGAGGCTGAGGGCTGAACATTCTCTCGCTGCCTTGCTGGGAGAAGGTGCTGCTGTTGCCTGTGGATGGAGAGAGTGGAGCTCTCTCTCCGTGTGACCATGGGCTGGGATGACTGAGAAGTTTTGGTTGCAGCCCCTCGGGTGTCCTCAGCTTTCTCCGGATTCCGGGGAGTTGCTGTTGGCTGTGGGGGAGAGAGCTGAGGACCCAGGGAGTGCTGTCCTTGCTGTGCAGCGCTGTGTCCCACGGAGAGCAGGGATGTGTGTGGGTCCAGGCCCCTTGGACAGGGTGTCTCTGGCTGTATCTTGTGTAAGTGTGGATTCTGATCCTGCAGGGGCAGCATGTCGGCGATGGACAGCACCAGGGACAGCGTCGTCCCCCCTGCCAGCCAGGCCAAGCTCACCGTCACCGTGTACAAGGACCTGGTCCTGCAGCACTACGGCTTTGAGATTTGCCCCAGCCTGCCCCTGACCATCGCGTCTGTCACCGCGGGTAAGCGCCGGGAGGAGGGTGAGCGCCGGGAGGGTGAGCGCCGGGCTCCTCCCGCGGGTGCGGCTCTGAGAGCCCCCAGTCCCCCGGGGGCCTTGGTGATGGACTCCTGCCAGATGTGTGTGGTTTCTGAGGTACCTGTTTGGCGTGTGACCCTTGGACACTGCAGACAGAAGCCTGGGTGCCCGTGGCACACAGACTGCTCAGGCATCTCCCAGCTCTGAGGGTGCAGAGCCCACAGCAGGGTCCCCACAGGTTCCTCACCTGTGCTCGCTTGCTGCTGACCTTCGTGGTGCAGGGAGCAACGTCCTTCCTGGTGTTTTCTCTGAGTTGCAGAGGAAGAATTTCATCTAATCTTAGAGAATTTCATCTTATTCTGCTGTGGCCCCAGTGACCTGTTGCTGAACAGATCCTGGGCTTCCAGCCCTGTACCACGGAGAGTTTCACTGCTGGGTCCAGGCAGTGCTGAAGTCATGCAGATCCACTCCTCCAGCTATAGAAGGGAGAGGTGCTTTTAAGGTGGCCCGAAGGTTTTGAGTCAAAAACTTTGAATCTGTTTCTTATTTACCTTTCATTTTTTTTAACAGGTGCACAAAAACACCTGGTTTTTACCTGTTGTGAGTGTGGCAGCCAGAGAGACACTGTGCCCATTGCCTGCGGTGTGGCTGGAGCTCCTCTGCTGGCCATCTATGTGGGATGGGGGATGTCCCTCTGTCACCTCCCGTTTCTCTTCCCGTGTGAAACATGGCAAAATTATCTCAGAGTCTTGGGGTATAAAAAGTGGGGAAGGAGTTTTTTTTCTGTTGTGCTTTTCTCCTAATCAGAAAGAATAAACATTTTACTAAAACTGAGGCACAAAGAACCCTTCCCTTGCTGTGGGAGCCCAGGGCTACCAGGCCTGTGTTTGGTTGGACAGTGTGGTGGGCAGTGACAAGGGCACAGGCACACACAGGAGTGGTTTTCCATGGGGCAGAGGAAAGTCTAGGTGGGAGGCACAGACACAAGCAGGGGCACACAGGCTGGCATGAGTGCCCAATGTCCTCCAACCCCTTTTATTTTGCCATCCAGAGAGAGTTGCTCAGGGAAGCAGGTGCTGGGAGGGAAGAGGAGCTCAGTGAGCATCTCTGGACATCCCTAGTGTAGATGTGGCACTTGGGGACACTGTTAGTGGTGGACCTGGCAGTGCTGAGTTAACAGTTGGACTCCATGATCTCGGAGGAGTTTTCCAGCCTAAATGATGGCATGATTCCCTGGGGGAGGAGGCCTCTGACTGACAGTGTGCCGGTTCCCTGCAGGCAGCACTGCCGAGCGGAAGCTGCAGCCGGGTGACCAGATCCTCCGCATCAACTCCAGGGGGGTGGAGGACCTGTCTGTGGAACGAGCTGCCAGCATCATCAGGTGTGGTGTCACCCCACGCCCGGCCAGGGCAGAGGGGCAGGGGACACGCCTGCTGACCACGTGTCTGTTGCAGGGACGCCGGTGACGAGCTGCTCCTGACTGTGCTGCGCTGCACGTCCGTAAGTGGCCTTTCCTTGGCTCTCTTGGCACCCCTTGGCATGGCCATGGCCATGGGGCAGCTGGGATACCGCCCCCCCCGAGGGCCTCCTGATCCCCCACTGGGGGAGGCAGGCAGGTCCTGCTGGGGAGCTGTGGCCAGCACTGAGGGGTGCCTGGAGCACTCTCGTGTGCCAGCGCTGTCTGGGATGTGGGAACCCTGGGCACAATGGGAGGTGCTGTGGCAGCAGGCTCAGCATCCACCCTTGGTGCTCTTTGGAAGCTTGTGAGCTTTTCCTTCTGACTGCTGGAAAAACTCATCCCTTGTTCCTCAGGTTCTGTCTAGTGATGGGCTGGGACTCGGGTGCAGACTGTGCTTTGGGAACACAAGCAAAGCTGCACCGTGAAGTTTTAGTGCTGATTGCCAATCTCTGTAGCAGAGAATTCCCCAGAAGGCACTTGATGCTGGCAGGATGTATTGTTATCCACATGGAATTTACTGGGTGTAAAGGCTGAGTTGCAAAGAAAAGACAAAATTTGTTTTGTGGGCTTCCTATGAGGTATGAAAGTGGCCTGAGTGGGATTCCATCCAGACCATCTCCTTTCTCCCATCCCCAGCACCTGAAAACATTTCTGGAGTGTTTTTCATTTGTTTGGAGGGTTTTTTGGTTTTTATTTTGATTTATTCTTAAAACAAGAGTGATGTTTCTTTCAGAAGTTACTGGAGCTCTCAGGCTTGAGACTTCTTGGCTCTTAAGGAAAGGTACATGAGAGAGAAAATCTCAAATATTTTTCCTGCCCAAAGCTTCCCAGGTGTAGGCATCCAATCATGCACAAAGCCAAAGTAATCAGAAAAACTGTAAGCAAACCCACTGATGGGTGGTTTCCCTCTCTGTTAATCTCATCTTATCTCCCTTGCCCAGTGCATCGGCTGTTGGTCTGGCCAGCCCCGATCTGGGGATCAGGAAAAAATTGGAGCTGGTTACGCAAGACCTGAATGCCTGCCCAAAGAGGCAAAATGCAATGGCTTTTCAGAGAAAAAAGCGTCTGGAAAACCCTTCATGGGATTTGGAGTGCCCTTCACAGGCCCTCAGGCATTGCTGAGAAGCAAATGGGGCACAAGCCCATATTGTTTTTTTCATTTTCAGGTCACTTTAAGGACATCTCCAAACACAGCCACGCCTGATGCAGGGTTTGGGAGTGACTCTTGCCCTGCTCTGAAGGCAGCTCAGAGCCAAGAGGTAACACCTCCCACCGCCAGGTCCCAGACCCTCAGCAGGGCTGGGATGTGGGAGGCTGTGACCCCACGTGCAGGGTGTCGTGCTCTCCGTGCCCTGGCGTGCTCTGGAAGGTCTGGACGTGCACAGGGGCTCCTCCTGACTCCCATCCTCCCTCCCTGCCGCGTGTCCTCGGGACAGCATGGGGCTGTGGCAGTCCAGGAGGCACCAGCACCTCTGGCAGGTGTAGGATTGACTCTGCCTGGAAGCCAAGCAGGAGGATGCTGAGGGATTCTGCCTCTGCTCTTGGGGAACATCATGCTGTACAAGAGCAGCACATTCGTGCACCGGGACTTGGTGGTTCCTCAACTCATGTGGTTCCTTGTGAGCTTGGTAGGACCCTGTCATGATGTGAGCAAGGTTGTGTGATAGCAGTGCAACAAAGTTGTCTTTGTGACCTTGGGCAGTTTTCTGAGTGGCTTGCAGTATGATAGTGCGCTCTGGGAAGCCCAGCGGAGCCGGGACACGCTGTTCACATGGCTGTGGTGTGCTGGCGCGGTGTCCATCACTGCTAGGCTCTCTACAGGTGTTGGTTTAGGTGTAGCCCCACTGCAGACCAACTCTTGGCAGATTCACAGTCATTCTGGGGTGCCCTGGCTTCGTTGCAGGAGGTGCGGAGATGCCTGAGCACAGCAGCTGGCTCCCGTGCAGTGAACTTGGGAGTGGGTGTGGGTGTCCCCTTGCTGGGCAGCCAGGCTTGAGCTTAGCAGCTGCCCAGACAGGTCAAAAGGGCCTGGAGCAAGGCTGGGAGCTCAGAGCCTCCCTAGACACGTCTCTGTGGACTCGAGGCAGCACAGTGGGAGCAGCCCCAGGGCAGGGGTGACCATGTGCCCTGCCCATGTCGGGGGCTCTGCTCCTGCCCGAGGCTGCTGCCCTGACCCACCGCCACTTTTGTTTCAGGGTGGACCCAAGTCATCATTCCTCACCGAGGAGAAGAGGGCGAGGCTGAAAACAAACCCCGTCAAAGTGCGGTTTGCGGAGGAGGTGCTGCTGAACGGGCACTCACAGGTCAGGGCTCCGCGGGTCAGGGACGGGGAGCTCTCTGTGGATGGGTCCCGGGCTGGGGTTGTGTGACTGGGACTCACTGTGCTGGTCGCCCTGGGCATGATCCAGGCACCTGCTCCCAACAGCTCCTGGGGCAACCAGAGGGGAGCACTGGCATCTCTGCAGGAGTTTGCGTTTGACCTGCTCAGTTGGACTAATATAAAATACCTGCATGCATTTCTGTCCCGTCCCACCGTCATGCCCTAAACCATCACTTCACAGCTGCAGGAGGCAGTTGTCATCTCTTGAGGTGCTAATCCATCTGTGGTGAACCCACACTGAATTTCGGCCATGATAAACACTGATCCTAAAGATGCCAGGTGAACGCTGACATGTGTGCCAGGTTTGTGTGCTGCTGGAGTAGCTGGGGTGTCCCCTGCTGGGGTATTCCCTCCTGAGGACAGGTTACACTGTGATCAGAGGGTTTGGTGCTGGTGTTTGCTTTGCTGTTAGGTGTGACACGTGTTCTCGAGCTGACAGGGTGGAGGCTTGTTGTCCTACCCCTGCAGAGGGTTTCCTCAGAGCATCCTCAACTGCCTCTGTATCTGACCATCTTTAAGGTGAGCCAGGTCACAGCTTCCTGGAGGGTGCTGAAAACCCTTTATGGGGTTCCTAGTGCTGATAGGAGACAAACTGGGTCGATATGAGTCAGCCTGTGTAGGTCTGCCTGTAGCAGAAGTGAGAACACTTTATAGCTCCTGAATGTTTCCTTTTTCTTTCTGTGTAACTCAATTAACTCAGTGGAGTGGACTGGGCTCAGTCAGGAGTCATTAGTTCTGTTGATTTTTTTTTTTTTCCCTTCAGAATGAAAAAATTCAGTGGTCAAAATGCCCCACTCACATCCCTGCTCATTAGTTCTATTCAGTCATCCAGGTCTGACCAAATCTCCCTTATTTGCAGTGATGATGAAGCACCCACGTGTCCCTTTTCCTCTTCCCTTTCTTTCACCCTGTTGCCAGGTGTGCTGGTGCTGCTGCCAGGCTCATCCCTGCCCTTCCAAGGGCTGTGTTCGTATCCCACAGGTGTTGGTGACAAGTGTCTGGTGTCCTACGTGTGTGATGTGGGGGTGTGGCCCCTCTCTCTGACACAGAATCCAGGTACCAGACCCCTCATGTGCCTGGGAGATGTGACACAGGCCACCAAGCTCACCAGGCAGGGAAGGGCGAAGGAGAGGACGTGCTCTGGAAGTGGGCCCAGGCAGAGATGAGTGAGAAGTGTTGGACAGGACTGGCTGTGGGATACAGGCAGGCCTGGAATTGCCAGCAGTCCCTGCTTTTCTTACAGCTGGGAGTTCACACCAGTATCTCCTGGAGCTTCCATGGAGCTGTGTCAGCCAGAGACTGGGCACTGGTGTCACAGTCCATGGAGGTCTCAGAGCCCTGCCAGTCACTTAGTGAATGCAAGGTGGGTCTCAAGGGATCTGGAGAAAGGTCTTGAGCAGCCCAAAGAAGGCACTTCTGGAGGGGATGCTGCACATTGTGCCCCCCTACCCCCACGCCTCAGTCAGCACCTGCTGAGCTAATCATACCAGAGGAGTATTAGTGCAGAGGAGGGACACAATCAATGTGTAGTTTGTCGCTCATTTACTGAGAGCATAAAGATAGGAGAAGTTCATTTGGGTGCTGGAGTCCCACTGGCTTTCCTTTTCACCAGTTGGATATGTACCCTGTTTTGAGTAGTAAAGTATTAGCACAAAAGAAGAGTAAATAAATTTGTTGCATATTTATGACTTCTTTCTGGAAAAGTACTATCCACCACAGCAGCCCTGAGTGCTTTAGGGCTGCTCTCCCTTCCGTGGGCTGATGTACTAAGGCAGCCAAAATGGGTATTATGGCCCTGCAAAACTGCACAGCCTCCTGTTTCAGTAAATATACTGCTCTTGTCGTCCTAATGGAGCATGGCTAAGTGATCCTTGTGGTGACGGGAAGGATCCCAGTGACTGCCTTCTGCAGCTGAAACCTGAGACTCTGGGTTGGAAACATAAATTGTTGATGAGCCTCAGTGCCGTCTGGCCCCACTTTCCTTGGGCTGATGATGTATTTCCATATCACTGAGCAATATGCAAGGGACAGGTCCCTCAGGGCTCATGGGTCAGCACCAGGCAGTGTGTTATTAGCAGTAACATGGGGTAAATCAGCCTTACCCCAGACAGGATGGGTACAGCTGCTGAAGCTTTTCGGGTTAATTCATAGTAGCTTCTGACAGCCTGCACAAAAGGAGAGAAACCCTACCTGTTTGTTCTGGCTGGATAATTGGGAAAGTGCTGATAATTTGTATATGAATCTCTGAGTAGGTGTAAGTTTTGCTGTGTGCTGGCTGTGCAAGGCCCCACTCACATGATAACTGTGACCATGGGAGCTCCAGAGGAAAGGCACAGCTGGTGTAACATGGCATCAGTCTCCTGGAACTGATGGAGGACCCAAAGCCTGTCAAAGATGTGTTCATGCTGTTTAGCACAGAGGAGTTGGATCTTGGGGTTGGCAATACCAGCAGTGTTCTCTCTTTTTTTTCAGTGGTGACTGTAGAGACTTGAACCCCACAAAATGAGGAGGGGAGAATAAGGAAGAAGATTCAGAAGTGTTTGTCTTTGCTCTGGCAGCACATCCAGGGTGTGTGGGCTCTCTACTGAGAGGGACTGAGGCTGTGAGATTTGTAACATGTGGCACAGCAAAAGAAACACAAGAGAGATTGTCTTAGAAACACCATTCTTAACCTTGAGACTGTTACAACAAGTCAATGAACCCTGTAAGACTGGAGGAACATGCTGGTCCAAGGATGTGAGAAAGACATGCTGAATAGGAAGTCCAAAGGCAGAGAAGTAAAACTTCTCAGCACTGAACAACAACAGGAACAATGCTGGAAACAGGGAGAAAGGTGCAGAAGAGTGAGGTGGAGGGCTGAAAGGTGAAGCCCCAGACAGCCCCAGGAGGATAGAGGCCAAGTCCCCAGACCCTTCCCAGAGAACCCAACAGAGGAGCTCTTGCTGTGGGTGTCCTTGCCTTGTCCCACGCTTTGGGACCTACCTCAGGACATATTGGTGACATCATCTGCTGTTTAGGAAGCCGAGGGTCACAAATCTCAGGGGGATACTCAATGAAAGTGGCACTGTGTGTTTGTCTGAGTCACACAGCCTTCTCTTGGCTGTGGGAGAGTGGAGGGTGTGGGCAGTGTCCAGGGTGAAGCTGTGACTGGTGGGGATGGTGGTCAGGGTGGGGTCTGTGCTGCCCAGTGCTGGGAGATGGGAAGGTGCCTTTTCTATCAGGCACCACTGCTTTTCAATAATGAGCAGGGAGGATGACTGTCCCCTTTCAGTGTCTGCTGGCTCCTCTCCCGGCCATGTGCAGCTGTGGCATGGGCTGGAGTGTTACGGTAAAGGCATTTGTTGTGCTCTCTTTCCCTCATTCCATGCCAGAAGGGTAATCAGGAATTAAGGTAATGCCATGGAAGAGTGTTGCCAAGGCTGAGAAGGGTTTTCCTGGATGCCAGGACTTGCTGTGCCAGGCAGAGCAGCTGGTGCCCGAGGGTCCAGCTGCTGCGTTTGTTCTGCAGGGGAGCTCCCTCCTGTGCATGCCCAACGTTCTCAAGGTGTACCTGGAGAACGGACAGACGAAGGCGTTCAGGTTCGAGAGGAGCACCACTGTGAAGGTAACGATGCTTGGCTGGCTGTTCCCACCACCCCAGTCCAACCCATCAGCAAAGGTGCCTGCAGGGGTCTTGCAGCCTCCGGGTTGCACTGAGAGGCTGGAAGGGGACTCCTGGCTGGTGCTGGGCACACTGGGTTTTCCACGTTCCAGCCTCATTTCTGCTCTGGTGAGAGTGTTCCCCTGTGGAGACATGAAAGCTGATTAAACCCTTCAGGTGACAGAGCAGCATCTGAGGGAATGATCCTCCTGAATGAAGAGTGATCTTCCCTCGGATGACCTTCTGCTCGAGAGCATCACAGACAAGTTGTCATCATTGCCCTCAAAAATGGTGCTTTCTCCCCAGAACCATCAATCCAGCCCTTTCTGTAACTGCTGTGCTTAGACACAGGATTACACGCTTCCACTTTCTCTAGCCTGATCTTTAGAGCTGCCCAGTGTTTGTGTTGGAATTAACACGATTTGCCCATGCCCAGTGGCTGGAGGATACGTGGTGTCCTGAAGCACCTCTCTCACTGTGGGAGAGACACACGATGGACACATGTTCTGGGGCTACCAGGCTGAAAGAATTCTAAGGGGAAAGGCAAAGAGCTTTTATTTGTCATGCAGCAAAAACTTTCCTCAAAAAGAAGGAGTTTGTTGTCTAGTTCATCCAAGCTTCACGAAGCCATCATGGTCTCTCAGGTAGAGTAAAGGTCTACTTACAAGGCAGAGAAAAAGAAAATGGTGAAATAAAGCAAGGAGGTGGTAAGGAATGGGGAGTTGAGTTGTAAAGAGAGGTTTGAATGCCCACCCACAAGGATCTAATTTCTAAAGGATGGATTAGCTCTTCATCTTTGACCTGAGTTTCTCAGCTCTGACCTGGAAAAAGTTTTTCCAGTTTTTCAGTGCAGCCCTCCAGAAACACCCTAATGGGTAAAATCTCCCCAAGTTAGGTGTTTCCAAAAATTCCCCTGCTGCTTGAGAGATTCTGGCTTAAAGCTGAGGTGAGTCAAACATTTTTGTTGCCTCAAGAGGCTTGGTTGAATCCAAGGACTTCTGTTTCAGTTTGTGCTCAGTCAAGCCTTATGTGATGTTTTCTGTTTGCCAAAAATAAACCTTGTTATTTTCATAACACTTAGTATTCTGACAGAATTCTCCATTAAAACTGAAACACCAGTTTCAGTCAGATTTGGTAAGATTTTTACAATCATGCTCTCAAATTCTTGTTCATTGGAGGGAAGTAGTGTTTTTCACCAGTTCCTTGTAGTTTTTCCATGCATCATAGAATCCCAGAATGGTTTGGCTTAGAAGGAACCTTAATGAGCATCCAGTTCCAACCCCCTGCCACGGGCAGGGACACCATCCACTAAACTGTGTTGCACCAAGCCCCCATCCAGCCTGGCCTTGTGCACCTCCAGGGTTGTGGCATCCATGTCCAAAGTGTTGTAGAGCTTTAGAAAGCTGGAATAGTGAGCAGGAAACACTTGGACCAAGGGTGACAAAAGTGCTCAACAACACCCAACCGAAAACTGTAGAACTTTGAGTGCAAGGCAGCTCAGGACAGGCAGCTCCAGGAAATGGATTTGATGCCTATGACACCTTGGAGTTTGCATGTTGCTGGACTCTTACCATGGCAAGGTGCAGCTTCCCTGCGTTGTCCTCCCAACCTGCTGGGATGTGCTGTGCTTTGTTTGTACGTGCCTCCCGTGCTCCTCTGCAGCTCCGCAGGCTGGAGTCACAAGGTGACATCCTCGTGCTGTCTGAGTGGTGCTCAGCCCCACGTCTGAGCTCTGTGTGACCCCTGTGCCCCTGCCAGGACATCGTGCTGACGCTGCAGGAGAAGCTGTCCATCCGCAGCATCGCCCACTTCGCCCTTGTGCTGGAGGAGCAGTACAACCTGGCCAAGATCCACCTGCTGCACGAGGAGGAGCTCATTGCACAGGTAAGTGTGTCCCATGGCCCTGCAGTGGGGCTGACACCCAGGAACAGAGGCCAGAGAGGGGCAGGGAGAGCCCAGTGCTGTGGGTGTCACCAGAGGGGTGAGCCCAGCCCCGTCCCCAGCCTTGCTGTCCCCAGCCTTGCCATCCCCTTCTGCCATGGCCTTCATCCATATCCCTGGAGAAATGGTACTTCTGGGAGTGTCTTGTCCAGGTTGGAGAGCAGAGCAGTACCCATGGCCTGGCGTTGCTTGGACTGTGTAGAGCAGTCATGGCTCACCTCCTTTGTGCCACCTGTCTCGTCGGCCCATCCACAAAGGAGTGTTTGAGCCTTAAAACAGCCTTTAGACAGCTGTGCACCACCTCACTATTTACAGTTCTCCGAGTAGCCAGAGCATTCACCCAGCCAGGGGCCGCTTTGGTTAAATTCTGACTCAGTAGTTGGTGTCCGGTCAATGTGACATGAGCTCGTGTAATTCTGCTGCTCTGCAAGGAGTGCTGGGCTCATCCAGTCTTTTAGAAGTGCCTGCTTGGGTGTCGCAGCTGTGCTGATGGGTGTGTTGGTTGATGATCTGCTGTGTTGCAGAGGCATTCATGGAATCATACGTAGAATATCCTGAGCCGGAAGGGACCCACAAGGAACACTGAGTTCAAGGCCCTTGGTGCTGACACTGGCAGACCACTGAGCACACGTGCCTGAGGATTTCTGCTGTGCAGAATTTGCCCAGAATAAAATGTGCTGATGTATAACTCGAAGTCTTGACATACAGTGATGATTCAGGGGTCTGTTTAGGACTGCTGTGCCTTGTGACTGAGCTCCAAAGCAGAGCAGTTTGCCTCTTCTGCCGTTATCACATGGACCCAAAGCCTCTGTCCTGGTCGCACTGCAAGCATATGAGATCAGTGGGTGTTTGATGAAGTGTTGCTGTCAAAGGGCTTCCAAGCTACTGCAGGGAGAAGCAAAAACCACTGAAGAATCAGAGATAAAATTACAAGCACTAGCAAAGTCTCTTTGTGTTTGCTAAGGACAATCTGCACCATCCCCTTGCCAGCAGCTTTAAGCGACTCCTGTGGGTTCGCTTGCCGTGCGGTCGGAGAGGGAGGAGCTGTGGTGTGATGCCCTGTGTCTGTTGCAGGTTGTACAGAGAAGAGAATCTCATGACTACCGGTGCCTCTTCAGAGTGTGCTTTGTCCCCAAGGACCCCTTGGACCTCTTGCAGGAAGACCCAGTGGCCTTTGAATATCTGTACCTACAGGTGACACTGGGGTGTTTTGTGCTTTGGAACCCCTTCCCACCCCATTCTCATTTTTGCTTTAAACCACAGTGTGCCTGACTCGCTCAGCTACATGGATGTGGAATGCAGAGCACTTAAAATCGGAGCATTTCAATTTAATTTGCCCTAAATTCTTGAATCAACTGGTATGGTTGGCTGGTGACACCCTTATTTGGATGCATGGTGTCGTGTCAGTGGTCTCATCCTGACTTCTTTCTGAGCTAACTCTGCTCTCTTTGCTCCAGAGCTGCAGTGATGTGCTCCAGGAAAGGTTTGCTGTGGAAATGAAGTGCAGCCTGGCGTTACGTCTGGCTGCTCTGCACATACAGGAGAGGATCTATGCGTGTGCTCAGGCACAGAAAGTGTCCTTGAAATACATTGAGTAAGTTCGCATGTTTCTGTGTTCTGTTGTGACTAAGCCTGGAAAAAGAAGGAGCCACCTAAAAGTGACATCAGCTCAATGTTTGCCTGGTGTTTGGCTCTGGATAGGAGACTGTTTGTAACTCAGAGGGACTGCAGCCTCCTGGTTGTGCTGGTTGTTTTAGGGTTGCCTCATGGGTCTCCCTTTCCTTAATCTGCTGAACTACTTGAACAGTACAGACAGTGAACACCTGGGCATATCCCAAGACAGAGGGAGGTTCTGGTCTGTCACTGGAACTGGGACTTGAAATTGCAGATCTCTCACACAGTGATGATTACCCAAGCAGCTCCTGCCAGTATTGATTGCAGTAGCTGGAGAGAGAGGAGATAATCACCAGCTTTGCATAGCCAGCACATCTCTTCATTCACCAGAACCATGCCAGAACTACCTACTCTGGGCAAAAGTGATAGATCCTGTGAATTAATGGAATCTGGAGGGAAATGACCAAGGAGCAGGTGTGCTGTGCTGCAGGTCAGTGCAGTTAGGCTGTACCTGCCCTAGAGAACCCCCTGCTTTAGAAACTAGTGATGAGCCAGTTGTTAATCAACAGACATAGATGTGGTGACTCACTGTGCTGCCAGATGTGCCCAGCTGTGTGCAGGGAGCAGAGGACAAGTGGCAGTTGCAGTGCTCCTATCTCCTGGGTAGGTAGTACTTGGGCTGAATAAACCCCCCAGCAGCACACAAGGCTCATATTTTTGGGTCCAGGGATCTGAAAAGTCATAATCTTGTCACCAAAGTAAGGTGAGTGCAAGGACAGAATCTCCATCCTCTGGGCGATGAGGGGAGATTGGGACTGTTCTGCTGACAAAGCTTGTGAATTAGCTCCTGTAAAAGCAGGTGCAAACAGGCATTCTGCGTGAAAGTGTGAGTTCTCCAGCCCCTCTCCTGACCTGGGGCAGGTGCAGGTAGAAGAGTGTGTTACAGCCCCGTGAGGCCGTGTCGTGCCTTTGCCCTGTCCTGTGATGCTGGGGGTCAGCATGGCCAGGACCCCCTGTGCTCCCTTCCTCTCTCTCTGGCAGGAGGGACTGGGGAATCGAAAACTTCATCTCTCCCACCCTGCTTCGAAACATGAGGGGGAAGGACATCAAGAAAGCCATTGGGTACCACCTGAAGCGGAACCAGCTGCTGCTGGACCCTCGGCAGAAGGTAGTGTATAACCCCTCAGCCCTGGGACCTCCCAGCATGGCAGCTGTGTCTCTCGGGGCCAAAGAGGGAGTGTCCCTCCTCTGCGGGTCTCCTCCCTGTGCAACACTTGGGGCTTTTCTCCTGCCTTTCCCTCATCTGTTCCCACACTCTCCGACTTCCCTGTGTTGTATGTCCTGCTGCAGTTTGCTCTGGGATGCCCAGTGGGCCATGTGGGATGGTCCTGGACACCCCTGTTGCCTGTCCAGACTGAGCTGAACGTGTTGGTCAGATACACAGTCCTGCATGAAAGTCTTCCAGCCTGCAGTACCTGTTTCTAAATGGTGTTTCCTCTCTTGCTAAATGAAGCACCAGCTCACAGCAACCCAGGTGCGCCTGAGCTACCTGCAGATCCTGGGAGAGCTGAAGATGTATAGTGGGAAGATCTTCAATGCCACCATGATGGTACGAGCTGTTCGTTTATGTAACTGGCTTTGGTGTGCTACCCTGCTGGTCACACTGCTCCTCCCTGTCCTGAGATACCATGGCAAATGTTGGTAAGGGGCTCTGCTGGGGAAACTCAGCATAGTCCCATTGAAGTGGATAACAGACCAGCCTACATGATAGTTATGCATAAAATTTCTAATTGAAAGCTGTGACTCTTGCTCTTCAGATGAGTCCTGTCTGTATCTTTTGTGTTGTATAAAGTACTCAAGAAATCTTGAAAGGCTTCACAAACTCTTTAAAATACACTGAAAAGACTTAAACCTCATAGTAAAAAAGAACTCTTCTCTCTTCACAAGAGGTTTCTTTAACCTCTGCCCCTACAGCTGCAGGACAGGGAGTCGTACGTGGCACTGCTGGTGGGTGCCAAGCATGGGGTGAGCCAGATCATCAACAGCAAGCTCAACATTGTCACAAGCCTGGCCGAGTTCCCCAGCATCAGCAGGGTGGAGCTCAGCGAGGAGTCCGAGAGAGTCAGCACAGTCAAGATCTACCTGCAGGACCTGAAGGTGAGTGACTCTGCCACGATGGGCCAGAGAGTGTGGGAGGAGTCACTCACACCACCTTCTCAAAATCTTACACTGGGCTCAGGGTGTGACCTGCACAAAGGGCTTAGGACAGACTTGGGAGAGAAAGCTCATAGGAAGAACAAAAAAAATTACTGGAGAAAAGCGATTCTTCCTGCTCTCCTCCATCAAAGGCACAAAAGCCAAGAAAAATGAATAGATTTCTCTTCTTTGTGACTCCTGCAAAAAGAGATTGAGGGGTGTATGGGTGAGAGTGGGTGCCTTGCCATTGGGCAGCATGTTCCTGCAGACTGTGGTACAAATATTTATCTATTCTAACATTTTCTCTTTTCTCCCCACCCCAAAACAAATGAAACAGGTGCTGACTCTGCTGCTGGAATCAAACAGTGCAAAGGATCTCGTCTGCCTCATCATCGGCTACTACAGACTCTTTGTGGATGCAAACACCTCCATATTTACGTGGGCAGACAAAAAACAGCAGCTGCACCGTGTCTCAGCTGAAGAAGGTTTAAAAAAAGCAGCCTTTTTTTGCCAAAGGATGGGGAGGAAGTGGGTGGATCACCCAGCGCTGGAGGCGTTATTCCCTCCGGGGAACAGCATCGTGAAGGGCAGTAGCCCCGAGCTGCGCGGTGGCGCCCACATAGGATTAAGGCTGGCCTTGATTATCTTAGAGGGCTTTTCCAACCTTCATGATTCCGCGATTCTGTGATAGAGGCAGGCCCCTGGGGGTCGAAACCGAGTCTTGGGGCAAGGGGTCAGCTGGAACTTGCCCTGACATCCTGCTCTGGGGTAAAAATATCCCCGAGATCCGGCTGCACCTCCCCTTGTAGGCTGATCCCCCTCCCCCCCGCACGGGACGGGCTGACGCGTGTGTTTGAATCCCAGGGTACGAATCTCGAGCCTGCAGCGACTCTGAAGACTCCTGGGAGCTGGAATCCTCCTCGGACCGTCGCGGGGACCACCCCGCGGAACAGGGCAGCGAGGAGAGGCCGGGGGAGCCTCGCAGTCCCGGGGGGAACGGCACCGACCCGCGGGACGGGGGTGACAATGCCACGGACAGCACGTCCGAGGCGTCCGACTCGGCCAACTCCGAGAGCCGGGGGTTCAAGACAAGCGGCTCCAGCGACTCCATGGACGCGCTGGAGGAAGATGAGTTGGAAGCGTGTTCCTCCTCCGGGCCAGAGCTGTTCCACTTCTACACGCCGACCGTGCAGGAGATGAGCAGCTTGGACAGGAACTTCGTCCCTGTGTGTGCAGCGGGGAGCCCCGACGGGGCGGGGGCCCGGGACTACTTTTGCTTCCTGCAGGTGCCGGCGGCAGAGGGGCCCGGGGGCAGCCCCTCCGAGCAGGGCGCGGGGGCGAGCGCGCTGGAGATGCGGCTGTCCGAGATGGATACCGCGGGCTACTACAGCCTGTGCTACGGCACATCCTCCGCCGGCAGTGCCCACCCCGCGGGGCACGGACACCTCGTCCTGGAGCCGCCCCCGGGCTTCGGCGACTCCAGCTCCGAGGAGGAATTCTACGATGCCGCCGACAGGCTCAGCCCTCCAGGCGCGCTGGCAGGTAACCCCACACCCGCGCGGTGCAGGTCACCTTCCTCCCACCTGGGCTGGGGTGCTGCCTGTTCTCCCATCAGTCTGCCTGGGGGAATCACCTTCCAAAAAACTTTCCCCAAGGTTTTTGAAAGACCTTCAAACACCCATGCTGCACAAGCCACTCCTCAACATGACATTGCAGGGGGATTTGTTATCACATCCAAGCACTGGGTCGTAGGAAAAGTCAGTTTTCACATGAGTGTGGCATTCTGGAATCTCTGCTCTCTTCCTCTGAGCTGAGGAGAGCCAAAACCTGTAAAACATTGTTTCCCAAGATCAAAAGTCATATTCAGGTAAGGGACATGTTATGTGGCTGGATCAAGGATTCCTGAGGCTGAGCAACTCCCCAGTCATTTTATTTCCTCACAAGGGAGAGGATTCTTTTTTCTGCTCTGTCAGTATTAGCTGAACCTCTTAAAAATTTAGTTTATGCCATTAAACAGTTTTGGCTTTTGCACTAGCGCATTATCACTCTACTGTGTTCAGACAAAAAATTGTCATCTCTGGAAGTTTTTGTCATCTAAATATCCAGCTGGGAATTTCTAACTGTGTTTCTAGTTGATGATAACCCTACAGCCACGGGCAGTGCTCCTGTAGCTGCTGCTGCTGTCACCCAATTTAACTGGGGAGTTACAGCCACATCTGCCATCAGGTGAAACAACTCCAATACACCTGGGAGGGGACTGTCCAGAGCCCTCATAACTAAGCCTGAGCTTTGGTGCTTGTACCCACAGACACAGGCTCTGCCTTTTCCTTGACATCTCTGACACCAGGGAGGTGCTTGATCATGAAAGATAGTTTCCCCTGGCCCTGGGAGCCAGGTGTTGCTGCTGTTCATTTGTGTTTGTGATTCCAAGTGCTGTGCTGAGAGGTTTTTTGGCCCACTGCATAGGTATATGGATATTCTGCTGCCTGGAGCTGTTTCCTGATTTCTGTGGTTTTTTTCTTGCCATCAGGCTATGATATGACATCCCAGGAGGGTACAGAGAACTCCTCCTGCATCCCCAAGAGACTGAGGTCCTACAGCTTGGGGGAGGACCCATCAACAGGGCAGACAGTGAGGGAGAAGCACAGGGGGGAGAAGGAGCTGACCTATGCCAAGAGCCTGAGGAAGAGAAGGTCTTTCCTGAAAACCACTTACACCTCCCAGGTCAGTTTCCCCTCCATGGGGACCAGCCTCCTCCTCCGTGAGGACACGGGGAAGGACGTGGACACGGGGCTTCCTGTGGCCACCCAGGCCCAGAGGGACGTTGCTGGCACAAATTCCTGCTGTGACCCGATGGAGATGGAGCCTGACACCATGGAGACAAAGTCGGTGATGGAAGGAGTGGTTTCATCCATTTCGGCGGTTCGCTGTCCTGGTGACCAGCGTGGGGAGGAAGACAGTGGCCTCCTGCCAGAACAACCCCCCTTGCTGTCTGCAGAAGAAGAGGAGTTCCTGCCCAGAGGACAGAGCGAAGCTGCCCAGGAAAGTTCCCCACTGGAGACAGATCCCAGGGCGCTGAGCCAGGGAAACCGTGTGCCCACTGAGGGCTGGCTGGCCCGAGGGGCGCTGGAGGAGGGGGACGAGGTGATGGTCACCCAGCACAAGGCTGGGACTGTGACCCCATCCTGTGACCAGGAGGGGACCTGCCCTGCTGATGAACTCTTGCTGCCACCACTGGCTCCTGGCCTCAGTGTGGCCCCTGCCCAGGAGGTGGCCGAGGACCAGGGGCTGCTCCCGGCTCCCTGTCAGAAGAGCAGAGCCGGTGGCAGCTGCTGTGCCGATGGCAGCAGTGACGTGCCCGAGTCCCGGGCGAGGAGCCCACAGGTGGTGAATGGGGAGGCCCTGCGGAAAGTGCACGAGGGCCACACGGGGTTTCCAGAAGCAGCCCAGCTCCTGGCAGACTGTGGTGCCTCTGGGGTTCTCACCCGCCTCTCCTGGCTCTCGTTTGGGGTGAGGACAGACCTTGCATCACTCAGTCTGGCACAGGACAGGGTGGATGTCCCACTCGAGCCTTTGGCCTCTCAGAGAACCAGTGGGTGCACAGGGGCTGATGTTGTGGGAAGGGAGATGCCAACATCCCCAGCTGGAGCAGGCTTTGGGCAGGAGCTGCTGAGCAGCTCGGGGCTGGGTGATAGTGATGGGGAGCCCAGAGGACACACAGGGAATGTGGCTCAACAGCAGCCGCAGCCTGCACAGGCTTTTCCCAGGGAACAGGCTCCTGAGGTGGGGAAGGACTCCTACCTGGCTCCATCTCCTGGGCTGTTTAACTCCTCAGGCCCAATTTCCTTGAGCTTGTTGGGGAAAGAGGCAGGAGACCACAGGGCTGTGAAACACTCCTTCCTCTGCTTTAACGAGGAGGAGGGTGAGCAGACCCCTTCCTACCCCATCCCGGCGAGGCCCTGGGGCTGTTCCCCAGCACAGAGCTCTCTGTGTTCCCCAGCACAGAGCTCTCTGTCCCCACACAGCACCAACAGCTGTGGCTGCCGCCTGCCCTACATCGGCTGCTTCCACCAGCCTGACAAGGGGGAGCACGAAACCAGCCCCCCTCCATTTCTGGGGCCCCTCACCACCCCTCCAGCCAGCAGCTCCAGCCTCCCCAGGACCCCTGTGAGCGGGTTCCCAGTGTCCATCGCGGGGGACATGGCCGGGCGGGACCCCCATGTCCAGGCTCTCGGGCAGCTGAAGGACCAGGCGTGGCTGAGCCCCGCGGATTTCTCCCGCTTCCTGGCCTACACTGCGGAGCTCCAGGAGGTTGTGGGGAAGCTCTCCGGGAACCAGGCCACCCACCTGCAAGATCAGTGCACAGAGCAGGGTGCAGACAGCAAGGGTGCCCTGGGCTGGGCCTCCCGGGACCTGCTGTCCAGCTGCCAAGCGCTCCTGAGCACGGAGCAGCCTCTCACGGAGATGCAGCGGGCGCTGAGGGCGACATTTGACCGCCTGGTTCACCTGGCAGTGACCTGCTTCCAGGTGACGCACTGCTGGCGCTGCAGGCAGAGGCAGCGGGAGCTGGGGGCCGCGCTGGGGGACGTGGTGGGCACCTACCAGGGGCTGGTGCAGGCTGTCCACCAGCAGCTCCACGGGCAGGGCTGCCCGGAGCTGGGGGCCAAGCTCCTTGCCCGCCAGCACATGGCCCTCTCAGCTGCCATCTTCTGTCTCCTGCAGCAGTTCAGGGCACCCCCGTGGCTGTGACAGGCTGGGTGGGGGCACACGATGGCACGGAGGGGACAGAGCCCAGCTGTGTGCCCTCTGTCCACCTCAGGCTCTCCCCCATGGCCATGTGCAGCCCCACAGCCCCAGGATGGCCATGGGAGGACACGTCCTTCACAAGAGGTGCCACGGGGAGCTGGGCTCCCCAAGAGATGCTGTGCCCAAGGGTGCTCTCGGAGCACTGCAGTGGCGTGTGTGTCCTGCCCAAGGCTCATCCCTCACCTCCCAGTGGCCATGCAGGTGTCCTCTCTCAGGGGGTTGTCTCAGCCACATTCTGTCACCTGTGGGGAAGGACAGGACCCTTTTGGCCTACCTTTCACCCGCTCCTGGATTCCCAGGCAGGCTCTGGGACATCAAACCCCACCCTGGCCTAATGTGAAGAACCTCAGGTGGCTTTGCCCACCTTTTGTGGCCAAGGGAATGCAGTGATCCCATATTCAAACACTTTTCCATGTGAGGGCAGGAAGGGTTGTCCCAGGCTGGGGAGGTAGCACCATCTCCCTCTCTTCCACTGCAATTCCTGTGTCAGCAGCAACTCTCCTTCTGTTTGGTGATGCATGAGGCAGTCCCTGACTGACTCCCCAGCCCCGTGCTACTCACAGCTCTGGGTCTGCCAGAAGGAACCAGCAAGCCCCAACACCGAAATGCCACTGTCAGAGCTGTGCAGTGACCCTTCCACAGCCTCCATGGGCAAGGACCAGCCTCTGTCCCCACTCCCACCAGGTGCAGCTCACCCTGGCCAGGTATGAGCTGTGAAGGTGGTCTCACTTTGCATCTCCTGAGAGGCAGCAGTGCAGTGCTTGCCCAAGGGGGGTCACCTCCACCTCCAGCTTGCCAAGAGCCCCCAGGGCACAGCCACCACTGACACCACAACACTCTGGGCCCCTGTTGTGGGTTAACCTGGGGATAAGCAGAGGTTAACCCCTGGCTGGGGTTAAACCACAACAGCCTCCCAACACCTGTTGCTGGGGCCCCTCTGACAGCCCCACCTGAGCAGAACCCCAGGTGTCAGACACTCTTGCTGTGAAAAGAAATGAAAACATAACCATAGTTACCTCAGATGGCCCTCAGGTCTCACTGCCAGTGGCCGTGAGGCTTTGGGTCTCTTTTGGCAGCAATGGCTGAGGTAACACATCGACACAGCTGCACGAACATGCTTCCTGCTGGGGCTGTGGGACGTGTCCCTGCTCTGTGCAGGGCACAGCCCAGCCCAGGTACCTCCCAGCAGGACACACCTGTGCATGTCACACATGACAAGGTACCACACATAGTAACTGTAAGGACACAATGGGGATCTAAACGTTTTATTTTAGATTAGATGCATAGAACTAGCTACAGGCTTCAACAACTCACCAAGTCTTCAACTGGGTTTAAGTTGTTGGGACATGGTGCCCTTGCCTCCCATCCTGCATTCTCCTGTGAGAGCAGCACTGTCCTGTCCCATGGGAAGGGATTTTCCTCTCCCATAAGCTTTGCAATCCTAACTTCACCTTACTCACTGTTTAACTAAAATGAAGGAAACACATCAAAGCTCTCCTCCCTGTCCCAGAACAAGTGTAGGTGCAGGAGTCACAAACAAACAGCTGCAAGGAAGCAAAACTGAATTCACATCAGTTTTCACTGATCCCAGGCTCCACCAGCTCTTGTTCCCTGCCCAGGGGGATGGGGATTGTCCGGCGTGGCACTGCTGAGGTAGAAGGTGTTGCTCTGAAAAGGTCCCTTGCTCTGGCAAGCGACTGTGCTCCTTGTGCCCAGTCACGCCGGTGCCTCCTGCCTGTGCAGCTCTTCACCACAAAATAAAGAGTTTCCTTGGGCGGTGCTGTGCTGGGCTGTTTCCACCTGTTCCACTCCCTCCCGTAGCACGAAGCCTTTTCCAGAAGAGACTCCAGCCTTCAGGGCCACTGGCCAGCTCCGCGTCTCGTAGTAGGTGCACAGGATGTCGAAGACTTTCAGGAGCAGAGAGGTGTTGAGTCACACACGTGCTGTGACACCTGTGCCAGCAGCTCTACACACCCACCAAACACCAGGGAGGGGTGACAGCTGACCCAGAGAGGGTCCCCCCCTGTAACACCTGAAGAGTCTGTGCCACAGGGAGCCCACCTAGGGGCAGACAGGTATTTTGGAGAGGACTTCAGGGAGCTCTGGGCAAAGTGGAGTCTGTGTCAACTATAGCCAAGGTGCCTTTGGTCACTATTTTGCCTGACCTGTGCCACCCGTCTGTGTGGATGATGGTACCCCCTGTATTGGGCCACACCTGCTGTGCTCCCACCATCACTCCTGGGTGCTGAGACCCCACCTCAGGGCTCCCCTGGGTACACAGCGCCCCCAGCCACCTCAGGGGCAAGAACTTTCTAGAGCTGGCCCAGGACATGAGCCCATCTGCAGTCACCTTGCAATTCCACCTTACAATCCTCTGCTGTGACCAAGTGTGCCAGCCCAAGGTGGTACAGGACACCAACACCCTCCCTGGACTGAGCCTGGCACAGGCCCCTGAACTCCCACCCTCCCAACAACAGCCCCCCAGCACCCCCCCACCAGATTGTGCCCTGCCTCATGCACAGCTCCCCCACGGAGCACACAGACCTCAGAACAGGGATCAGCAGGGATCACACCACACTCCAGCGTGTCCCCCCAGCCCCGGCACAGCCCCAGAGCAGCCCCTCACCCTGGTTGATGGCCAGTGTCTCTGAGTGGTAGTTCCTGGAGTTGGGGGCTTTCACCATGTACTCACGGATGGGGAGTCGGGCTGTCTGCAGGCACTGCTCCCGTGCCCTCTGCAGGGTCAGCTGCTGCAGGGACACACAGACACGCTGCCACGCGGCCTCACACACGTGTGGCACAAGCAGCCACAGAGCCAAAACCTGCCCTGGGCCTCGTGGCACCTGCACTGCTGCGGCCTGGCCCAGCCCACTGCTGGGTCTGGGCAGGATTTGAGGGAAAATGGATGCTGGTGGCAGCAACCCGACTGGGATATCTCTGCTCTCGTGAGGGAATGGAGCAGGCAGCACCCACCTTGTGAATGCTCTCGTCCACCAGCCCTCCCAGCACGTACACCTTATCTGGATCGATGTCTTCAAGGACTAGGAAAAGGACATTGGCTCAGCCCCACACAGCAGTGAATCCTGCAAGATGCTGCTCTCCCTTGCCTAAAGCATGTGAAATATTTACCATTTTCAGAGTCAGGAGTGAGATAAACAATGGCATCCAAAGGAAATAGGTCCAGGTAACTCTCTGGAGTTGTATCCATCTGAAAAACACAAGGCAGGGAGAGGAGCAGCCCATCAGCTCAAGGTCTATCTGCCAGAACAAATAACTCCCCAGACACAGATATCCTGGGACTGACAATGCTGTTTGGATGTATAAATGCCTAGAGAAACACTGGCTTTGGGTTTTCCTTTTTCAGTTGGAAAATGGTTCTGTGTGGGCACTGAACACTACATATCTCAAATTCCATTACATTCTCTCCTCAGCAAAAGTCTTTGGTGTGGTTTGAGGAAAGGAGAACAGCAATAATTATCTAATTTTAAATGAGATTCAAGTTCTCGAGGGACTCAGGAGTCCCCACCGCGGGTGTTTTTGCTGCACTGGCTGCCGGGTGTGCTGCAGAGCGCAGGGCTCAGCTCTCACCAGGTATCGTGCGAAGCCGTCGTTCATGCGGAGGCACTGCTCGTAGATCGGCGTCCCTGCCGCGAACTCGGTCAGGCACAGCCAGAAGGGGTGGGCGGCGCGGCGGTTCGCCCCGTACAGCCGGCGGATCTGCGAGGCCAGGCGGCCGCTCTCCTGGGGACGGGGCGGGATGGCACCAAGCGGGATCAGGGACACACCAGTGCTCTGCCGGGGGTCGGTCCCGCCAGGCTCTCGGTGCCCTGCCTGGGGCAGGGACGGGCATAGGCGGGGTGCAGCATCCCCGGGACCCCCGAGCAACCCCCGGGCAGCCCCCTCGTACCTTCTCGGTCATGCCGCCGGCCACACCGAGGTCCAGGCAGAGCCGCGGCCCCGCCGCCCGCGCTTGCAGCAGCCGCTCCCGGGCCAGGGCGGCCGGGACCCTCCCGCGGGGGAGCGGGGCCTGCGCGGGCCCGGCGGGGCCGCTGCCGAGCGCCGCCCCCGCGCCGTCCCCGCGCTCCGGGGCCCGCCGAGCCCGCCGGCGCTGCCGCTCCTGCCGCCGCTTCCCGCGCCGGGCGGCGACGACCCGCTCCCAGCGCCGGCGCTTCCGCAGCGCGTTCCTCTGCGGGGGACAGGGGTCAGCGGGACCGTCGGGCACCGGAGCGGGGACCGCGGGCCACCGGAGCGGGGATCGCCAGGGACTGGAGCGAGGACTGCCGGGCACCGGAGCGGGGACCGCGGGGCAGGCCAGGGACCGGAGCGGGGATCGCCGGGCACCGGAGAGGGGCTCGGGTCCCGGCACCGAGCGCGGCCCCGCCGAACTCACCGAGAGCGGCCCCTCCGCGCCCCCCGAGCGCGGCCCCGCGGCCGAGGGCTCGATCTGCAGCAGCCGCAGCGCCTCGGCCGCCACCGCCGGGTCTGTCTCCCCCGCCGGGTCCATCTTCGGCGGATCCATCTCCCCCGCCGGGTCCGTGTCCGCCGGGTCGGTCTCAGCCCCAGCCCCCCCGCCGGCCCCGCCGCCGGCCGCCATCGCGGAGAGGGCGGGTCCGCTCCGGGGCCGGGGGTGGGTCCCGGGCGGGTCCGTCCGTCCCCCCGCGGGAGCAGCGGCGGCCCCGGAGCAGAAGGGACCCGGCAGAGCCGAGGGTTCCCCCGGTGCCCGCTCTCCCGCCGGGCCCGGTGCCAGTCCGTGCTGGGGGCTCCGCTCGCAGCAGCACTGGAGTTCGTGCACGGTCCCCCCTCGGCTCAGGGGCTTCCCAGCGTGCGCTGTTTTGGTGTTTTCTCGCCGCCGTGAGAACGGGCACGGGCATAAACCACTGCAGAGGCAGTTGCTCAGCACCAACCGCCCGATGCCTGGTCCCGAGCAGCAACACTCCCAGACGGCTGTAATCCCCTGGAAAACTGTCCCCCACACCCCATGGCATCACTGTCAGCATGTGAACTGGGGTAAGGCGAAGGGGAGACATAAATAAAAGCTGACGCAGCCGGGATCAGCTGTCCCGGCCGTGCCCGCCTTGCTGTCAGGGCAGGGGAGGCTGAGAAGCCCTGGACAGGGGCAGCACTGCCCAGCGACAGCTCAACACCCGTGTGTGATCAGTCTGCCTCAAAACAGAGGGTTCAGCCTTGTACAACGCTGACAACGCAACGGCTGGATCATAAATGCCGAACTGCAAAGTTGGACTCAAATTCTGAGGAGCTCAGGGCCAGAGGGAGCCCCCGGACCGGGAACCCTCAGCCCAGGGGGGCTCCGTCAGGGGGTCCCGCTAAGGGGGGGTCCCGAGGTCCCGGGTCAGAGAGATCCGAGTCACGGGGTCCCGGTCAGGGGGGTCCCGGGTCAGAGCGATCCGGGTCGGGGGTCCCGCTCAGGGGGCTCCAAACCTGCCGGTGCCGCACCGGTCACGTGCAGCTGCGGTCATGTGACCATGCAGCGCGGGGCCTCTTAGGGGCAGGGGTGAGCCAGAGCTGCGCAAGCGCAGGGCCTGCGGCAGGGGGCGGAGCTGCGCAAGCGCAGTGTCCCGCCCCGCCGGCAGGGGGCGGAGCCGCGCTGCCGCCGCCATGAGCGCGGAGCCGGAGCCGGGCCCGGGGCCGGGAGTAGGGCTGGACCCGGACCCGGCGCCGGGGCCCGCGCTGGACCCCGAGCCCCCCGGGCACCGCGATCCTGCGGGCCCGGGGCCCGGCGCGCCCGGGGGGCTGTTCGCGTGGCTGCGCGGGCGCTGCCTAGGCCGCGGCGCCGCCGTGGACCCGGCGCGGGACACGTTCGGCGCCATGACCGGGCTATACGGCGCCATCCAGCCCGCCGACTCCGTGTCCCTCAGCACCCGCACCCACGGCGCGGTCTTCAACCTCGAGTACTCGCCCGACGGGTAGGTGCGCGTGAGAACCCCGGCCAGGTGTGCCCGGGGCTCTGCCCATCCAGGTGTGCCCGAGATCCACATCCAGGTGAGCCCGGGCCTCTGCCCATTCAGGTGTGCCCTGGATCGACATCCAGGTGTGCCTGGGGCTCCCCAGGCCCAGAGGCCGCTCTGGTGACCCTGGGCAGAGCAGAGACCCTCCCTCTCCAGGACAGTCAGCCTCGATCCCCGCTGACGAGTGCCCAGCTCAGGCTGCTGCCAGGGCTCCCCTGGTGCTGCCAAATCTGTTTTACAAGGCTTTAGTGAAAAGCCCCCGCTGGGTTTGCAGAAGGGCAAATAGATATTCCAAATTAG